AGCAGAGGGGAGGCCGGAGCGAACATGATTTCCCCAGGTGGAGGCACAGGACGAGTGGGGTGAAAGACAATTAGTCACGGTCCCACGGATCCCTGCACTCAGGTTTCTCGCTTAGCATCTACTATTTTTATAATTCCTAACACCACCATTGGACTAGGTGGAAATATTAACACCAGAATAACCTGAACAGGTTATAGAGGCTGGTCTGGCTTCGTTCTACGTGGTGCAGGGCAATCACCCCAGAAGAGCGTACTGGGCGCCTCTTCGTGGCCACACCCTCCACCCTGGGGAAGGCGGGCCGCTCGAAAGCCCGTGCCTCACTCTTTCCCAAAATGGCAAGGAGGCTGAGCATCACTCCTGGGGTGTGAGCTGGTAATAACCGGTTCCCTGAAGGAGCTGGGAGTGGGGGAACCGCATCAGGAACAGCTCCCCCCATCACTGGTGCCCCCGGTGGAAGCCTGGCCCAAGGTGACCCCTGGGCGAGGAGGAATCCAGAGCTCCCTCCCCTCCCGAGTGGGGTGCCCACGGGCATGGCCCACCGGCGTCTCCGGGCAAAGCTCTAAGATGCTGTGCCCCACCCCCCCCAACCCCGTCTGCGGCTCTGAAGCCTCAGGAAGCTGTTCCCCCGGGAGTGCCGCCCCCGCTCCTGCCCGGGGGCCCTGAATGTTCCTTATCTCATCTCAAAGGTGCCTCCTCCTGAAAGCCTCCCGGGCACTCCTCCCTCCTGGGCTCCTGCAGTTCCCTCTTCCCCACCTGGGGGGCAGGGCCCCGCCACGGCCACTGCTAGTTGTGGGGGTCTGTCGGGGGAGCAGGTCACACGGCAGCCCTGGCCCAGGCAGAACCAGGGCACAGCAGCCATTCCGGGGGTTTAAAAAATGTTTTTAATGTTTATTTATTTTTGGGAAAGAGAGGGAGACAGAGCGCGAGCGGGGGAGGGGCAGAGAGAGAGGGAGACACAGACTCCGAAGCGGGCTCCAGGCTCCTAGCTGTCGGCACAGAGCCCGATGCGGGGCTCGAACTCACGAACCGCGAGATCATGACCTGAGCCGAAGTCGGACGCCCAACCGACTGAGCCCCCCAGGCGGCCCTGCAGTGATTTAAACATTATGCCCCTGGACCTGTCCTCACACCCACCTCACCCAGGGCCCCCGTCACCCTGGGTGGGGGGCAGACTCCGTGACCTCAAACAGCAGGAGTTCTGTGACAGCCGCGTGCAGGAGAAAGCTCGCCCTGGAGGGAAAACAGACCGTGGGGTGTACCCGAGGCGTCTACGTGTCAGGTCTACACCTGAGTAGGAGGAGAGAGAAAAATGCGGGGCTGGTTTCTAAGACAACAGGCTCGAAACCCCAACCAGGCGGATGAGACTCATCCAGAGTGGAGACGCAGCTCTGGGCCGCTGTGAGGGGGCCGGCCCTGCGTCCACACTCTCTGCCATCCGGGAAGCGCTCCCGTCCCCGGCCTGGCGAACGTCCCCACCTCCAAAAATAACGGCAACTCGGCGACCGTTACTGCAGCTCGAGCAGAGGCCCTTTTGCGCACTAACCTGTCTCCACCCTCCAGAAGCCCTACGAGGCACATCATTGTCCTCATTTTCCACATGGTGCACAGAGAGGTGGAGGAAGCTGGGGAAGGTCACACAGCACACAGCTGGCAGAACGGGAGTGGAGCCCAGGAGTGTGGCCCTTTGTGGCCTCTCAGCCCCCGGCCTGGCGGTCCCGGCTCCAGGGTGCTGACCCCGACCTCACATGCCCCCCAGTCCCCGCCCTAGGCAATCAACACGGAGACTCCCTGAGAGCGAGTCGAGAAACAGACACTGAAGAGTACGGATTCAATCGCGTGAAGTTCAGGATGAGGCAGACGAGTCTGCTTCGTCAGGGTGGTGGCTGGGGGTCCCGGGGGGCTGGGCACATCCTCCTTCCTGACCTGGGTGCCGGGCACACCCACGAGTCTGGCTTGTGGGCATTTACCGAGCTGCGCACGTATGATCTGCGCACTCCTCTGGGGGACGTGCCAGCTAAAGACTCTTCCCGCAAAACGGATCGATGACCTAAATTAAGAGCCGAGACTACACGTCTCTTAGAGGAGGACACGGGAGCACATCTTCGCGACCCCAGATTTAGCAACAGAGCCCTGGGTTTGACACCAAAGGCGTGAGCAGCAACAAGAAAAACACATTCTTTTCTTCACAAAAATTAAAACTATCGCGCATCTGAGGACGCTGTCGGGGACGTGGAAAGACAGCCCGTAGAAGGGGAGAAAACATTTGAAATCGTAGATCTGACGAGGGTTTCGCATCCGGAATAAAGACTTCTTACAGCCCAGCAGCAAAGAGAAAACCGGTCCAATGAGAAAACGGGCAAAGGACCGGAAGAGACATTTTTCCAAAGGAGATGCACCAACGGCCAGGAAGCACGTAGGAGATGCCCCCACATCGCCATCGCGGAGGGAGTGCAGATCCAAACCCCAGCGAGAGGCCGCTCCGCACCCGTGAGGGCGGCTGTAGTCAAAGCGAACCGAGCCAGAGTGGGAAGTCAGCGCCGGCGAGGACGTGGGGCAGCCGGGGCCCCCGTGCACCTGCGGCAGGGACGTGACTGGGGCAGCGCCCGGCGCCTGGGAAGGTGACACAGTTACCACGTGACCCAGCAGTGCTGCTGGTGGGAGTGAGAAAACCGACGGTCGTGGTAAGCAAAGCGAACCCAGGTCTGCCCCGCAGCCCGCGTGTGAACGTCCACGGCAGCGATTTTCAGAGGCCACAGGGTGCAAACGGTCCAAACTGTGGCCCATCCACACGACGGAATATTAGCCAGCCTTAGAAGGGAAGGAGACCTGACTCGTGGGGCCCCTGATGTCAAGGCGGGACGCCAGAGCTCTGTCTCCGCCACGTGAGGACACAGGGAGAATCTGGTGGCCGTCTGCGGCCCGGGGGGGGGGCGGGGGGACTGTCCCCAGGAACCGAATGGGCCGGCACCTGAATTGTGGCTTGCTGCATAAGGAAAGACGCGGCCTGGGGTCTCAGCACACAGGGTCCAGTGTGGCTGCAGCAGCCCCAGCAGCCCAGGACGCGCGATAGAGTCAAAAGTCAAGGCACCCTCACTCCTCGTATCAACCCCCACCGCGGCCACGGTGACCGGACATTCCGCGTCATCGGAACACTGCCGCACCCCTGCTCTCGCAGGCGTCTCCTCCCAGTTGCCACACAGGAAAGGCCTCGAAGGCCAGTACCTGTCGCCCAGCCCCCCGCCGGGCAGGTGGCCCAGCCCCTTGCCAGGTGGGTCTCTCAAGATGGCTCAGGTGTTTTTAAAGAATATTAAAAGCCCATGAGATTTTTCGGTGCGTGGTTTTAAAAAGATGTCTTGTGCCTTCTGACAAGCGGCTGTCATCGTTAATGAGACAGAACAACGCTCATCAGGAACACAGGAACTCTGGTTCCAGGGGCACGCAAAAAACGCCATGTCTTACTCAGAACCAAGTGGGAGCCGAGCCTGGAGCACAGCCCACGGCCGGCACGCAGGGGCGACCAGCACTGGGGACTTGGGGCAATGCCTCTGGGCTCCAGAGACCCCCGCCCCTCCCTCCCTCACCCAGCCACGGCAGCACAGAGGGACAGCCCTCGACCGTGACATGCCCGGCACGTGTGAGGCAGGCGTCCCCTCATCCCTGGATTCCAGACCGCCGAGGGCGGGGCCTGTGCCGCGTTGAGGCCCCCCACCAGGCCACACGGCTCCCGGGGGCCAGGCATCCACATCCTCCAGCCCGATTCAAAGCTGAGTTTCCTCGTTGACTGCCTAGAACTGAGTCCGGATCTTAAAAGGCCTCGTCACCAGCCGACATAACGAAATCTACCTCGAAGCTCATCAAAACCTTCGGCCGGAGCCGCACAGACTTCCCAGGGCAGCTGCACAAATGCCCTCCTGCCGGGAGCCGCCTCCCCGCAAGAAGCCCAGCTCCTTGCCATGCGGGGCCAGGCAGGCCCATCTGCAGTCCCCTCCCCAGAGGGGAGCCCTGACCTCACCCCCTGCCACTCTCTCGCAGCTGACCCCACGTGTTCATGCTCAGGGTGGGGTCTCTGCCCGGAACGCATGTTGCCGGGCTGAGCCAGCTTGCTCCCTCACCCTCCCTCTCCCTCGTTCCCACCATTGAGCCCCATCTAGGTCATGCCCTTCAGGAGCACCGCACTGCTGTCCCCTTGTTCTCCACGGTCCCCCAGGCCCTGGAGCAGAGCCACGTGCAGGAGTGGGCTGGTAGAGACAAGTTGTTCCTAAGTGGCCCCTACAGGACAAAAGGAGGGTTTGGACCAAGTGAGTGTGGGAGCAGATGAATCATCCCTTCTACCTTTGGGTGTGTCCGTGGGCATATCCGCGTATCACGGCTCTAAGAAGCCCTCAGCAAAGGCCTCTGCTCAGTGCCCTTGCCCGGTGTTACTGGATGCATGAGCAGGGGCACGGTATCAGGCTAAGAGCAAGTCACATACTGTGTCTATGTCTGTGTGTGTCTGTGTGTGCCTGTATCCGCGTGTATGTCTGGGTGTATCTGTGTTTGTGTGTGTCTGTAACGTGTGTCTATGTGTATCCACGTGTGTATGTATGTGTGTCTATACCTGCGTGTGCCCCTGTATCTGTGTGTGTCTGTGTATGCACTCCTGTATCTGTGTGTGTATTTGTGTGTGTGTGTGCCTGTGTTCATCTGTGTACGTGTGTGCACAACCTAAAATGGTGATTTCTAAATGCTAACGGTAGTTAGTCTGGGTGCTGTCATTTATTACGGATGATTTTTCAGTTTACTCTACGATAAACAGGTATTCGTTCTGAATATGTTTGTTAAATAAACACAGTCATTAAATCGCAAAAAGAGAGGGAGAAGGTAGGGCCTGGGGAAGTTGACTTTGCTTCTGTCCTGAGATAATGCATTTATTTCTTTGGAACATATGGTTTATTTTCTCCCAGTGATAAAACTCACACCCGCTTAGGAGGGTAAAGTGGGACATGCCGAAGGAAGACAAGAGAAAGCAAGTAACCGATGCCCCGCAGTGGCAGCGGTGGTTTACGTGAAGTGCAGAAACGTTTAGCTGGCTGCCTGACCCAGGGTGGGAGCTGGCCAGGGTGCCCCCTCCCACCAGGGCTCCTAGCGGGGAGGCATCGAGCCCAGGCTCCAGCCCAGGGTGGGTGGGGGGGGACACAGCGCATGTTCAGAGGGTCTGTAGGTGAGTGGTGGGTTGAGGGAGATGGAAAGACGGGAAGGCAGGCAGGGGGAGGGAGAGAGGGAGGGAGGAATTCATTAGTGGTCCCAGAGGTACCCTGGGCTTCTGGTTACCATGGAGACAGGCAGGCTGCACCAGGCAGGTGGGGCTCAGACAGCAGCAAGGCAGGGGTTAAGGAGGGCAGGGCCAGTCCCCGCCCCCGCCCACTCCCACCTGTGCAGGGAAGCATTCCAGCCAAAGGAGAATAAGGCAGGGGTGGGGTGATGGGGAGGACTGAGCCAGGGACTCTCCCTCACTCAGCACCCCCTTATCAGACTCTGGTCTAGCTGGTCTGGCCAGCAGGCAGTTCTCCAGTCACCTTTTAGCCCTGCCCTGGGGGCGACTCCGTCCCTGGAGCCAGCCCTGCAGAGGACCGCCCGGGGCCCCCCCCCCAACCCCAGCCCTCCCCACACTCCCAGACGCCCATCTCGGCAGTAGGGTGGGGGCAGACGGCCCCTGCGAGTCCCCACCAGACCCACGAGGCTCCTCCACCTGTGCCCCAGCGCGCGGCAGGGGACGCCCCGAGATACGCAGGATGCTGGCTCACATAGAAAAGGGGAGCTGCGTGTGTTGGGAGTGGCCCCTGAGGCAGGGGAGGAAAGGGCCATACAAATCACCACCAGGCCCTTTGCCTAGCACAGAGACAGGCTGAGGGCTCTGGGGCCGACAGCTGAGATAACATGCTGCCCGGCCTTTTGCTTGAGGCACAGATCGATGGCTCCAGTGAGGCTGCGGGAGGGGGGGGCCAGGCCTGTCTCTCCTCCCGGCTCGGGCTCCAGGGGAGGACTTAGGAGAAAGCTCTGAGTGTGACACGCATCTCACGGGAGGACAGAACGGGGTGGGGGGACGACAGGGGCGTCGGGGGGGTCTCACTTGGCCGATGTGGCCCAGCTCCTCGCGAGCCCACCCTCCTGCAACCCAGTGTGGCTCCTCCGGCCTCACCACCGGCCCTCCGAAGCGCCCGGCCAGGCTCCCTACCTGCACGGGGTCCTCGCGACAGAGCCCGGTCCGATCGGCCGGCCCCCGCTGCCCCTCTCCAGCGCCCGCGCCCCAGACAGTCAGCTGGAACGGACGGCGTGCCCGTGAGGACGGCCAGCCCCCGCCTTCAGCCAGCGGTCCGGATCCTCTCCCTTCTTTCTCCTGCCACCCGCCACCGGCTGCCCCCCAAGAGCCCACGGCCCGCCCAGCGGGGCGCCAGCACGCTCTGGGCCAAGTTCAGGTGACGCCGCCGCCGCGGCTGCTCCCCTTCCGCGGAGTCGGGCTCGTCTTTGCCCGCCCGCAGCTGCCACCTCGCGAGGAGGCTGCTCAGAGCTTTGCAGAGCCCGCCGACTCAGCCGCGCCAGGGAGCTCAAGAACAAAAGCATGAATCTTCCCCGGGAGGCCCCGTATCCTCCACCGACGAGGAGGAAAACCCGGACCTGTTTTCTTCCTGCTCTTCGCAATGAGGACGGTCCCCTGCCCGAGGGCAAACCGGAGTGCACCCGAGGGGCTCAGGCGCCGAGCCCCCACGTTCTGTATTTGGCCCAGCGTTAAGCATCAGGCCCCGCGGTGCAGACGGGGTCACCCTTCCCCCTCGACCCTTCAAGGGGAGCCCCGCTGACTGCCCGGGGACAATAAGGAAGCCCCCCACCCCCGTTACTGGGCTGGAGAACGCTTTGCACACGACGTCTCATTGAGTCCCTGAGGTTCTGGAGTGTTCTCTGGGTCAGGGCAGGCAGCAGGGTCGAGGCCAGGCGTCCACCCCTGCCCCAGGGCACAGTGACCGGAGCCCACGGTTGCCAGGAAGCAGGCCAGGCTAGACCCACACACGCACCACAGAGCAAGAGCTCAGCGCCCCCCGAGCCGAGACGCACCCCGCTGGCAGCCGTCAGGTATCCCAGTGGGGCACGGTGCTAACACCAAGTGCAAAGCAGCGTCCACACCCCGCGAGGGGACTGGACGGCACCGGGAGCCCGGGGCGGCCTGGGTTCCAGTCTGGCTCCGCCACCTGCTTGGAGGCGGCCGACGGCCCAGCACACATGCGCGGGGAGCCCAGGAGAGAGCGGAAGGTCGGGACCAAACTTCGCAGGGAACAGAGAGAAACGGTTTGAGCTGCTGGCCGTCGAGTCCTGTCCCCAATATTTACGGCGCCATGTGGAACCCCAGAGAGGGCATAGCCTCCGTCCACAGATTCGGGGAGTGTGGGTATAAGCGTTAGGTATGGTCACTACCCCGCTAACAGGGTAAAAGACGCCCTCAGACTAAA